TGCTAGGAAGACCAGAATTACTGGATACTCAAATAACCTGATAAAGGGAAACTAGTCGGGGTCAGAAGTCTTGCCTGGAAGTCCCTTGAGTATGTCCTCAAACAGGAGTGCTACAGCCTACTTGGATTTCCAGGTGCCTTTTTGAGGATAAGCAGCCTCTGTAGCCTGGACAAATAACAAAGTAAAAGATTGGAAAGCAGTCACTTCTGCTGGCAGGCGGACATCCCCAGTGGAAGGCTGCAGGGATCTTCACCCCTCAGGGCACCCACGAGTGCTTTCTCCTTCTGTGAGCAAAACTTGAGCAAGTTAAAACAACAATAGGTGTTCTGCTGCCCAGCCAGCCTCAGTGGCATTTGAGTTACTGAGATCTCAACCAGCAAGGTTGTCCTAAAGATTCCCACGGTAGGGAACTGCTTTGTTTTGCTTTGTTTCTCCTGCCTCCTCACTGCCCTGCCTTCTGTGGTGGCGGGCCAGCGGGTTTTCCTGGAACAGGTCATGCGTCTGGCACTGAGCTGTGGCACTATCTGCTGGGTGAAAGGGACCATCTGCCTGTCAGACAGCCCTGAAAGGCTTTTGTGTATGGAATACCCGTGATGCAAAGAGTTACAGCGATTGCCACTGTGCAGGTAAAGCACTGAAACACCAAGACACCAGCTGACTTCTCCTCGATCGCATATGGTTTATGCACTAAGCTGAGAACCGAAGGCGTGCCTGCAGTTCCCCAGCAGGAACTGCTTTGAAATCACTTCTCTTTGAGGTTAAGATCATAATGATGAAATACTTATCTAATTGGAGCCACACACTGCTCCTAGAGCAGCCAAAGAGCCTGGCTCAACCCATCACACACTGCAGATGAGGAGCTGTTATCCTCTGGCAGATGGTTCAAACACTGGTCCCTCAAATACCCATCTGGGAAACCCAGGCTTTTGCTTCTAGCTTCCTGAGAAGGACCTCTAGATGTCTGTTGAGTTGCATCGTGTCCCAGGTTTGACCCAACTCCTTAATTCCTCTTCCCTTTCTACGTTTCAGCTTTCGAAGTTGCCTGGAGTGCTGTGGCCCGGACGAGCGCAGGATGGACCCTGTTGTTCTCAGTTACATGGACAGTTTGCTGAGGCAGTCAGACGTGGCCTTGCTGGATCCCCCAAACTGGCTCAACGATCACATCATTGGGTTTGCCTTTGAGTACTTCGCCAACCACCAGTTCCAAGAGTTCAGTGATCAGGTTTGTTTTATCAGCCCCGAAGTGGCTCAGTTCATTAAGTGTGCCCTTAGTCAGGAAGAAATAGCCATATTCCTTCAACCGCTGGACCTTCTCCACAAGAAGCTGGTGTTCTTGCCTATCAATGACAACTCCAACCAGGTCGCTGGGGGCACCCACTGGAGCTTACTGGTTTATTTCAGGGACAAAAAGTGCTTTGCTCATTATGATTCCCACAGTAAATGCAACTCTGTCCATGCCAAGCAAGTGGCAGGGAAGCTGGAGGCGTTCTTGGGAAAAAAAGGGGGCAAAGCAACCTTCGTGGAGGAGAAGGCGCCTGCCCAGCAGAACAGCTATGACTGTGGGATGTACGTGATCTGCAACACAGAGGCTCTGTGTCAGGGATACTTCAGAGGTTGGCCAGAGCCTTTGCTGCAGCTCCTCACCCCCTCCTACATCACACAGAAGAGATCGGAGTGGAAAGCTCTCATCACGAAACTGGCACAGAAGTGATGGAAATGCAGCTCCAACCCTCCAAAAACTGCCTTCCCCATCCACGAGGCAGCACCCCCAGTGCCTGAGGGAGATGCCCATGCACATTATTGCCCCAAAGAAGAAGAATGTAACCCCCCCAGCATGGCTAGACCCCCAACACCCGTTTCCTCCTGAAAAAGCCTTAGCCCCCTCTGGAAATCACTGGCCTTCGAACTTGTAACGTGAAAAGTCACTTTGCTCTCAAAGAAAACCCTCCTCTCGTGGTGAAGTTTTACACTAACTGCTGTGGCAAAAGAGGTTATTGCTAAAGAGACTTCTCCACCTTTTGCCCAGCAGACACCATGCCCTCATTAGGTGGCTTTAACTGGCCACAGGCATTGCTGCTCCAAGCCAGGTTTAGCAAATGCCCCTTAAAACCAAGCCCCCAACTGCTTTCTCACAGCTGCTTCTTATCTGTGCCTCCCACTAGGGGCATTCCAGCAGTCTGGGGTTTAGCACCAAGGATTTGTTTCACCCCCCAAAAACCTGATACTGAGCTGTTACCTGTCAAAAGACGAGACTCCAAAGGAAATGCTACGATTAATTAAGGAACCAGGCAAAAAGAGAATCACTTTTCTTCAGACAGGTGCTCCTAATCTGTAGCTTTTTTTCTGTTCCCCACCTTACTCTTACTACAAATTAAAACCTGACTCTAAGCCGCTGGAAGATTAATAGGAAGCTGAGAAACCCAGTCCTAGGAAAGGGAACTTGACTGAGATGAAAAGGAACACTCACTCTTTGAAGTTCGTGTTTTTCATTAGGATTTCAGGTCCTCTCCACTTGGGGAGGTTCCACATTGCTCCCCAGCCCTTGCTGGCGTTCACAGCACTCAGGTGCTGCTTCCTCCAGCACAAAACCAGTTCTGTTACTTGAGATAAAGAAAAAAAACACACCAGGGAGAACAAAAGGACAGAGTTTGAGCTATAAAAGCCAAAGATAACTCCAGTCTGCTTGAAGCCCAAGAAGTCCTTAATACCCTTTGCACCGAAACGCTTTCCCTCCTGCGCTGGCTGGTGGCTGGGATCTCCCAGCAGATCCTCTTGTGAAAAGATGGGCTTAGCAGTAAGGAAAATAAAGATTAATCTGGGATGTTGTTGCAGGGTAAGGAGTAAGCTCTACCCTCACGAGGAGCCAGGAGCAGGTTGCTCAGGTAGTGTCTAGCAAAGCAACCACACCCCAGCGCACCGGCTGCAGCAGGGAAATGAGGTTAACCAGAGCCCTCGGAATAGGAAAGGGGGAAGGATTGTTTTTACCCTGGAGTTCTTCACCCATCAAACTGCCAGCCCGGGCCCACCAGTGTGTGTGTACCAGCACCACGGCAATGAACTTTAGGAAGGGCTTAAACTTCCCTTGTTGCTAAGAGAAAGGTAAGTAGCCACAGCCAGGCTCTTCCAAAACACCCGAGGAAACACATGGTGCCAGCAGTGGAGCGAAGCAAGGGTCACGGCCATTCCCCTCCTTCCTGCAGTGCCACCAGTGGGTCAGGGCATCCCATCCATCCTTTCCAGACTCCCTGGAAAAACCCTTCTGTGCTCTGGTGGAGTTGAAAAGCCTGGAGAGGGTTGAAACGGGATTGAGCCGCTCGATGAAGGGGATTCACTTTGGACTCTGCGGCTTTCCCAGAGCAATGTCACTGCTGCTCCAGGTCCAGAATAAAACTCAAACCAAGCTGAGCACTTGTATCACCCTGTCTTTGTGCCAGTTCCTTCTTGTGCAATGGTATCAAGGCTGTGATGATTGTTGGCTCTTGCAGTGGCCTCTCGGCCACTCTGTGCCCTGCAGTGGGTGAAACTGGGCAGAAATCAGCCTCAGAGAGCCAGCGAGCCCAGGGACAGCTCCATCAGCACCTCGTGTGACAGTGAGGCAGCCACACAGGCACATTTGATCACCTAATCCTGTCTTTAGGGGTTGGTTTGAGCTAGGGAGGAGCATGGGAAGAGGGGAGGGAGGAAGGCAGGACAGTGGGTGCAATGGGGAGCATCGGGGGGACCTGAGGGCAGGTGCACCCCATGTTCCTTTTCCCCAAGGGACGGGGCAGAAGCCAGCATGGGGAGCACCCAAGGACATTTCCTGCACCCAAGGCTTTTACGTGGCATTTCTTTACACAAAGAAAAGCAAATAAGCTCCAGCAGGGCGTCACCAGGAGCACTGACACACAGCGAGCAGGCAGGCAAACACTGGCTGGAGAACACCCCCAGGGCCATGCAGCAGGAACTCCCCCCCCCAAACTATGCCAGGGGCTCTTCCAAACCTCCTCCACATCAGCCAGCTGCACCCACGGGTTGTCCCACCCCTTGGGTAACCCCAGAGGAACTGAGGGGTCTGTCACCACCATCACACAGCGGGCCTGGGCTGGACCCCCATGCACCTGGTTTGTACTGGGTGCTGCAGAGCATCCAGAACCACACTGGGCACACAAGCCCCAGAAACCCCCAATCCTAAACCTCATTTTGGGGGGCATAAACCTCACTTTAAGGTTAAACCCGTAGAGCACCAGCTTGGGTTTAGAAAAAAAAACTCCAAACCCCTTTGAACAGGGTGAGTGCCTATTGGGGATGGAGCAGCAGTGGGATGGCACCTTGCATCCACTGGTCACCCACAAACTCAAAGGCTTCAACAGTCCTCTAACGCCAGGGCTTTGGAGCAGCAGCTCTGGCCAGAAACGTGGCCAAGCCTCAGCACTCCAGGGTACTAAACCTCCCGAAAGAATGGGGTGACACCACCGCACCCCCCCCTTGGCCACCACCACCTCCGCTGGGGCTTTCCACGCTGTGTTGTTTCCTTGCGTTTCACTCATTTTCATGCATTTTGCGCTAGGGGCCGGGCTTGGTGGGAGGGGGAATTCGGGTTGCGGGTGCTCAAGGAGGAGGAGAAAGGCGCTGCCAGAGCCCAAGTGCCACATCCCGCAGTCTCTGCTGCCACCTAGTGAAGAAACCGCACCCGGGTCTCCTGCACCCGCAGCTCCCCCGGCTCTGCGTGTCCCGCAAAAGCCACCCGGATTCTCCCGCCCCAGCCTCAGCATGGCCAGGGTGACACACAGGGTGACACACAGCGTGCAGAAACGCTGCTGAGCACCCACCAGCATCCATCCGGCCCCAGGAACAACGAGCGCTGGCCCAAAGGGAGAACAAGGCGAAGGCATCCATTCCCAAACCCACCCAAGGACAGGGCTGTCCCCATGTAACCTACGCCTTGAGGCTGCAGCCAGTGAAGGAGCACCAGGCCAGCACTGATGCTGGGGTGCCCGGCTCCGCAGCAGACAGCGACGTGCTAGAAAATCCTGGGTTTATTTCATTTAAAAGCCGTTCCGGGCCCGGGAGCGCAGCGAGCGCTGCCCCGGGCGCAGGGATTTGGCCCCATCAGCACTTGTAGTTCCCAAAAAACAGGAAAGAAAACCGAAAGGAATCCCACAGGAATCACCCCAGCGTGCTCCGGGGGGAGCCGGTGGGACAAACCCTGCGGGACTCGGCTCCACGAGGGCACAGCCACGCTGCGATCCGGGACCCTCCCCAGTGCCAGGCACAGGCTCCGTTTGGGATGTCTGAATGAGGGGAACGGGCTACTGCAGCCTTGGTCCGGCACTGAGCGCCTGGTCTGGGGGACCCTAAAGTGCTTTGCAGGGGACACAGACACACACACGCGCCCCGAGATGGCCCGGTGCTCCAGGAGAGAAGGGCTGGGAGCCAGTACAGAGCCCAGCAGAGCTGGGGAGGGCTGAGCTGTATCCCCACCCTTGGGTGCTGCCCCACAGGGCTGGTGGCCCCTTTCTCCCTGTCCCTCCACACCCCCAGGGCTGGGGCTGTTCCTCTGGCTGCGGTCGCAGGGGTACTGAGAAGGGAACAAAGAGGCAGGTTCAGCCCAGAGCCGCTGCCCGGGCTTCACCCAGAGCAGCAGCGGCAACAAATGCCCATGTCTTGGGTTCCCAGTGAGCCTAAAGTCATCTTTCAACAGGAAAAATCCAAGCCTGGGATAAAAACCAGCACCCATTTTAGCAGCAAGTCCTAAGGGGAGGTCCAACCACTCAGCAGCCCTGAGCCATCGTCCAGTGCTACAGCACAGCAGCATCCCGGGGAGAAAACAGGTTTCCAGTGGGATGGGGAGTTGGCACCGGTGGCCGTGAGCTGGCCAAGAGGTCCCACCAGGAGCAGGTGCCAGGAGGAAGAGAGAAGATACTTGGTCCCATGTTACCGGCTGAGGGAAAACCAGGTCCTGTGCAACAGCCAGGAGGACTCGGCACCGGGATCCGTACGTGGGGTGACACCGTCCCGGCGTCTATCCTCAGCCAGCGCTGGGGGCAACGGTCACCTGCAAGCAGAGAGATGGGTGAGACAGCGGCCATGGAGGTACCATGCCCATGCCCCATGGGCATGTGAAGGGAGTCACCTCGATGTCCCCAGCCCAAGGAACCCACTCGTGTCAGTCTCTGCTCCCAAGGAACAAGGGATGGGACAAGAGGAACCGGCCTCAAGCTGCTCCAGGGCAGGTTTAGATGGAGCTGAGGAACAATTCCTTCCCCAGAGGGTGCTCAGGCATTGGAACAGGCTGCCCAGGGCAGGGCTGCAGTCACCGTCCCTGCAAGTGCTCACACAGCGTGGAGACGGGGCCTCAGTGCCATGGGTTAGGGGTGGCCTTGGCAGGGCTGGGAATGGTTGGACTGGATGAGCTGAAAGGGCTTTTCCAACCTGGTTGATTCTGTGAGTCTATGATCCTATGTCCATCCCTTGATGATGCCCATGGTCATGTTAGCCTCAGGGCACAGCCCGGCTCCACCCCAGTGCTTCCTACAACCAGAAACCAGCCTCAAACCCACTAGTAAAGCTTCTTCCCAAGGGCTGAAAGTCTCAGGGTCAGCAGAGCTTTCCTCAGTCACACAAACCAGCAGCTGATGGGATCGTCCAGCGCATGGGGATGACACCTTGGGGTCTACCATCAGCCATCCCAACAGCAGGACAAAGGAGGAGGGATCCCTGGGACACGGCACGGAGCCATTGCTCTTTGCACCTCGGGTCCTCCACTCATGGTGCCACACCCCCACAGCGAAGTGTCCCGGGGGGCCCTCACCTCCTGTGCCCACGGGAGAGGTAGTCCCGGTTGAGCGAGCAGAGCTGCTGCTCCAGGCGGAAGATGCGGAACGCCAGGTACGAGGAGGACACGACCAGGAGGCAGATGCTGGGGGCAGAGGAACAAACACAAGTGCTCAGCGGCCAGTGCTCGAGTTGTGTACCCCCTGTCCCCCCCGCTGCGGCGGCTCCGCACACTCACAGCACGATGAAGATCTTCAGGAGCTGGTAGTCGGAGGGCCTCAGCTCCGCCACGCAGCTCTGCTCCACCTCCAGCTCCTCCTCTGTGTTTATTGCACTTTCTGGAACACAAGCCCAGGGTCAGCAGCACAGCACAGGGCTCGTGCTCCTCCGCCTGCCGGGAGCCTTCAGGGATCAGCTGCTCCCCCCTCCCAGGCACATGCTGAGGGCACAGACCCCACAGCCACACCGCATCCCATCCCCAGGACCCCATCAGGGACTCCCAGCCGCAACCCTGCTCGTCTGCAAGGCAGAAACTCCCTCCACGAGGGCACGGGATGGATGAAGGTGGCTCTGTGGAGGTTTACACCCAGCACATGGTGCGGGGCCGGGCCCAACCCGTGTCCTCACCTGAAACCAGGGGCTCCTCGGAGGTGAAGCTGTCCTTGGCGCTCAGGCTGCTGACAGAGGCCCGGTGGATGCACTGGTAGTCGGTGTCCGGCAGCGACAGGGACAGGGAAGCGGGTGACACCTTCCTCCACTTGCCCTCAGGGACAATCACCTCCTGCAGGAACAGCCCCGGGGGAGCAACGGGGCCACATTCAGCACCTCCACTGAACACCAGCAGACCCAAAACAGCATTCTAAGGTGGAGCTGGTGCTACTTAGGACAACAGTCCCATGGGGATGGAGGTTCCTATTGCCATAGGAAGGACTTGCCCACATACCCCATGCCTGCCCTGAATCATAGAATTCCAGCTTGGTTTTTGGGTTGAAGGGACCTTAAAGCTCATCCAGCTCCAACCCCTGCCACAGGCAGGGACCCCTTCCACTAGAGCAGCTTGCTCCAAGCCCCTGTGTCCAACCTGGCCTTGAACACTGCCAGGGATGGGGCAGCCACAGCTTCTCTGGGCACCCTGTGCCAGCGCCTCAGCACCCTCACAGGGAAGAGCTTCTGCCTAAGATCTAACCTGAACTTTCTTTGTTCCAGTTTAAACCCATCACCCCTTGTCCTGTCACTACAGTCCCTCTCCAGCACCCAATAACAACTGCCACCTCCTCCCCCCCCTAACCTCAGCATGGTCTCCCACCATCCTTCAAGAGCCCCTCACCTGCCCCATGGCTCTGCATCCCAGAGAAGCACTGAATGGAGCAGGGTGGTAACTGACATGGAGAGGGGTTCCCTTGCTAGTGTGTCTCCAGGGCTGGAGCTGCAGAAGGGCTGCAGCACTCAGAAGCACCGGGAGATGCTGCCAGCATGGATCACTCCTGATTCAGCCCTTGAGAAGTGTCTTCAACCCCTGGGATGCCACCAGCCCTGTCCCTCAAGGCCCACTGGAATTGCCACCTCCTGCACCCAGCCGGTGCACAGGGCCACCGGCCCATGGAGGACACCATGCCCAGTGTCCCCATATAGCCCAGCACAGCCACAGCTTCATGCTGGAACAGAGGCAGGGATGGGCCATCCATGTTTAATGGAGAAGACACATCCTGCTGGCCAGGGACAAAGCCACCGTGGGCAGAGCAGAGCCCTGCTGTGTTCCAAAGGCAGCAGGATGAGACCCCTCATGCTCCCTTGGTCACGCTCTTCCCCTGCCCAGCCTCCTGGCTCTGAGCCATCCCACTCACCCCACAGGTTTTGGGATAATGAACCCTATTTCCAGCCTGTTACCCATGCTCATGGTTGTGAACAGCATCAGCCAGCAGGAGCACAGCGCCAGCATTTCCCACATCGCTCTGAGTTTTTCCATCTCTGTACGGACCCCCGAGAGCAAGAGGCTCGTGCTCAGCCACGGGCTGCTCAAACCATCCTCCTGACCCCTCTGTTTGTGCCACCTCAGGGCATAAGCATCCCAGAGGACGCACTATGAAGGCAACAGCCACATCCTCACATGACCTTTGCCAGCCTTGAGGGGAGAGGGACCAACTCCACACTGGACCTGGCTCACCAGTGCTGGGAAGGTGTTAAACCCACCCAGGGGGAGGTCACAGGGCTTCTTCCCTCTCCCAGAGCCGCCCTGACCCTCACCAGTGACACAGCATCAGGCTCCTCCGTCAGCTCCTTCAAGCTCAAGCTCTTCTTACTCGAAACCTGGAAGCAGAAAGGAACGGGGGTGATGGTGCTGCCCCTCCCCGCCTCAACCTGCGCCAGGAAACTGAGCATTGACTTTCCTGGAGGGTCTGTGAAGAGCAGCTGCTTAACAGGGATGTGAGGACAAAGAACAGCACCTGGCAGAGGACAGGGCCCTGCATCACTGCTTCCCATCACCAAAAACCCTATGGGGCCACGGCTCTGCTTGAGCCTCAGCTTCCAGCAGAGGGGATGAAGCATTGTGGGGAGGGAAACGGGAATATGTAGGCAGAGCCCAGCACATTTCAAAGGCTAAATCCCCCAGTTTGGCAATGGAGCTGAGTCACCCGAATCACCACCCCACACAGCCAGCAGACACCCTGCCAGGTGGGGAAGGGCCCCGGCACTGCTTCCCACGTGCTTCAAAGGCAAGGAGAGGGAGATCCCCGCAGTCCTGCTCCTCAGCTCCAGGGCTGATGCTCCAGGGCTCTTCCCCCCTTAGACATTTTGATTCAAATTTTCCTTGACTTTGTACCATTTTTCCTCCCCTTCAAGCTCCAGCCCTGGGGCACGGCCCCCGATGTGCGCAGTGGCAGAACTCGTATTGCTACCGGATTATGCATAATTCACCTACACGCCCTGGGAGAGAGCAGGAACTCCGGGCTCTGCCTCTGTCATCCATGACCCAGAAAAGCCCAGTGGCAGCTCCTGGGGACAAGATGTGCCCAGGGCACGGTTCCTGTCCCTTGCTGCAGGGTGAGGACGCTGGGAAGAGGCAGCAGGGCACCAGGGAGGGCTTTGGGAGCGTCTGAAGCCATGATGGGGTGGGGGTTGAAGGGTTCTGCTCCCTGAAACACAGCCCTGGAGGCCAGTGCAGAGCCCTGTGGACACCAAAACACGGGTGAAAGGTACCTGCAGGTGCGTGCAGACTCTCCTCAGGACATCATAGACACTGTCACGGGAGATGAGGGACACGAAGATGTACTGCAAGAGAAAGAGAGGAGCTGCCAGGAGAGATTCCCCCATCCCGAGTCCTGCTCTCCACAGGCAGGGGACAGACAGAGACGTCCTGCCCTTGAATTTCCCCTCCTTCGGGAGCCGCATCCCCCTGCAGGCACCTCCCTGCGGAGCTCCCTGCTGTTATTTTTGCAGCCACCTAAAACCTGGACCAGATTTTTTTGGGGTCAGTCTTGCTCAGCTGCTCTTCCAGTGGGGGCTCCCGGGATCAGCCCAGAGGGATGGGGCAGCGAACGGGGCCGGGAGCGATGGAAAACATCCCCATGGGTCGGCACAAGGGGACACGGGGCAGTGCCTACCTCACCTGACGCAGAGCAGCTTTGCAGCCAGATTGCTTTGAACACCCAAATCCTGCTTAAATCCTGCAGGAATCACCCCCTCCCAAAACCCCACGGGAATAACCCTGGCAGGGGATGGGCAACGCACGCTGCTGCCAGCAGGCAAGGACTCAAGACACACCGGGCAGGACCACGTCAGCTCACTGCAGCCAACACCCACTGTGATTTAGCAGCTGGAAATTCAGCCCCTTATCCAAGCTTTCTAGCAGCTGGGATGAACACCAGCCCCAGCCCCTCCCCTGCTTGTGCTAAAGGAGTTTAAAGGTTTTATTTGAGCCTGGTGGGGATTTGTCAGGCTCGACCGAGTTTCACTTGGGCTTTGGTTCGCCCAGAAACAAAGTGAAATTCAGAAACGAAAGCAAAGCCACGGTGTTTGCCCTGGCCGGCTGCCAGCACGGACAGCACTGCTCCATTCCCAGCTGGAATCGCTTCATTCCCTGCTCTCAAAGCAGAGCTAACTCAGAGCAGGGCTGCGGCGGGGCTCCGGTGTTACCTTCCTGCTGGCGTTGGTGGTGATGGCCAGGCCGTTGGGCAGCAGCCGAGCGGTCTTGTGCTTCTTTATCAGCTGCACGGACACCACCGGGATCACCACCTGGAGGACAAAGAGACACAAGGGTGGGGTGAGCGCCAGGAGGCTCCTTCACAAGGCACACACGCAGCACACATCAGAATTACACCCCAAGCAGAGCAGCCTGGGGTTTATCAGAGCTCACGTCATCCCCCTGGGCTAATCTCGGCTCGGAGACAGTTTATACTCAAGCAAAACAGCAGGGACATGGGGAAAACAGCCCCCGGTGAGTCTGAAACCCACCACAAGCCCAGGGAGAGTTAAAACTAAAGCAGGATGTATCCGTGGCAGGACGACTTCGTTGAACCCCATTCCTCCATCAGGTATTTGTTTAAAGCGGCTGATGGAAATAGTTCAGCTCTTCAGCCCAGTTTTAAAGGAAGCCGTCTCTCCCCAAGATCTCAATCAGCCACAAGGCTAATGGGGAAGCTTCAGACTGTAAATCAAGAAGAAAAGCCAGGAGAGATTCCAATCTGCCCCCCCCCCCCCCAAGCTTTGATCTTCCTTCAAATGCTCCTGCGGCTTGTAGGAGGTTTTACATCAGGGAACTCTAAACCAAACCAATATTTGGTTTCCCCAGGCTGATGCTAGGGGTGATCTGAGGAGGAGGAGCAGCCACACTCCCCTCAAAAGCACAGGGGCTTTTGATGGCGATTTTGGGGTTATTTGGGTGCAGGAGGGGATAACTGCAGTGTAGCCACATCTATGAGCCCTATGGCACTGGGGTGAGCTGGCCCCAACGTTACCTTGATATCCTTCCCAAAAAGGTTTGCGTAGAAGCAGAGCCAGTTGGGGGAGATGTAAAGCCTTCCCTGGATGAGGATGTCCCTCTGGAGCGCGCAGGAGCAAACTGCAAGGCAGACAAAGGGCCATGGCAGACCATGGGCCAGATCCTGCCACCACCATGCCCATCCCTCACTGCATCACCCACCTTTCAACACGCTCTCCTCCGTGGGGATGTCCTTGAACAGCTTGTGGTACTGGGAGTTGTACTTGCTAGCGGCCTGAAAAGGAAGCAAAGCAGTTATCCGGTGAGCTCGTTGATGAGGAGACCCCTCAAAACACCCTCCTGCAACAAAACCTCCCTCTGCCCACACCTGGGACCGGCGTAGGGGGGTCCCACCGGGCTGGGGACGCTGGGCACGAAGGGCTGGAGGAGGCTCAGATGATCCCGCACCCAGCAGACGCTGCGCCATCATCCCAGGTAAACATCCCCCCTCAACCCCTATGGAGGCTGCGGAGCCTCTGCCAGGAGCTGGGCTTCTCCCAGCCTCAGCCGCAGGCGATTTATCTTGCCCAGCGGCTTCTCTCCTCCTCCTCGAGCTCTTCCCTTATCCGGGGCACGGTGACAGCACTTGCTCCGTGCCCATCACACCGCGCCATCCTGCTATTTATATTGCCGGTGTCTCTTCAAAGGCTGCCGCGGGAGGCTCGGCAGGTTCTGGGGATAAGGGAAAGGCTCCAAAGCAGTTTGGAGCTGTGCAGTAAGCCAGCCCTGTGAAGGCAGGGTTGTGCCCCCTGCCCGGAGCTCCCGGTGCTCCCCAGGGACACGGCGGAGCCCTCCTGTCCTGCCCGCAGTGACAGGGTCACCTTTGCACCACACACCCCGTCACTGGATGAGCTGGGCTGTAAGAGGATCAAGGCTCAGCACCACCTGGGGTTGGCTCAGACACCCCCCGGAGAGTGGTGGGAGTGCTGGTGGGGTGTTTCAGGGGGAAGGGGGGGGATCGTGGCATCACCTCCAAGCTACCCTCAAGAAACACTCCCTGGCCCCAGCACAGCCCCATAACCCCCACAGGGGCCTCTGATCAATCAGCAAAATGTTTTTCTTCTCTGACTTCTTTGTGGGGAAAGGCAGAACAACTCCTCCCTCTGCTCCTGCCTCTTCCAAAGCGTCTCCTGTTTGCAGGTGGACCAGAAAGCTCCACTTTGGGCACGATCTGAACAACCAAAGAGGTTCAAACAGACGGGAACTGAGCTGCCTGCAGTCAAGATTTCTGCTCTCTCCCTTGCTCTGGATGGAAAATCCTGAAAGTGCTTGCAAGGCAGATCACAGACCAGCTGAAACCATCACTGGCTCCCCTGGAAATGCAGACAGGAGCCTCTACCCTACACCTGGAGCAGGCTCCTCCATGGCAAATGGCCAGGGTCGGGCTCCAAGGAACCACGCTGTTCACTCACGAAGCTCAAGACTTACCACTTCCCGGTGGCATTTCTTGATGTCCTCATCCTTCAAGGCTTCATTCAGGCGGAGGCTGGAAGGCAAAATAACAACCATCAGGTGAGTGAGGAGCCCCAGGTCTCACCCGCTCCCTCAAACACGGGAGCTGCAAGAGGAGACACAGCAAGATGCACAGGATGGAAGAGAGACCCTGGGAAGGCACATCTGGATGTTAAGTAACAGCTGATGGTGGAGGCACCAGCCCTGAGGTGCCTGTACCCAAATACACCCTAGCACAGGGGAAGGAGCACCAGCAGCAGCAGGGACAGGTTAGGAGCAGCTCCAGCCAGGGCAAGGTTTCCCCAGGGAAAGCACAAATGGAAGTTTGGGAACACGCCCCGGCAGGAGGATGGGCCCAGGGGCATCCATCTGCATCCACCACGCCAGCCAATGAAGGAAGAAACTAGAGACAGTGAAATCCCCCCAGCAACCCCAGCAGCAGAATACCGGTCCCTTCCCCAACCTCCCCCTTCCCTCCCTGCCAGTCTGTAAGAGCAAAAACAAAAGGGGACCCCCTGTGCCCACTCTGAGCCGGTGGGAGCTTGGAAGCAGCAGGGGTGCTGCAGGAGGTCACAACAGGAGCAATAAAGAGCAAACATCTGACTGCAGACCCCGCTGCCCCTCACCTGCCGTCGAGGGAATCCAAACTCCTCTGCTTGTGGGATGTCTCCAGCTTCTCACGGCCGTGCATGGGCTCGGGGCTCTTCAGGGGAGCTGCTTTTTCATGCATCGGCTTGGCACTGCGAGGAGAAGTCCGTTAGCCCCCAAGGGAGAGGGAAAGATGGAAGAGGTGTGGTTTGGAGCCATAAATGCACTCCCTTCGGTCCCAGCCCGCACACAGTGGTTGGTATCTGCCAGTCAAGGACAGCAGGAACATTGCTGTGACTTCCCACGTCATGTGGAGGAAAAAATAAGGATGTTCCTTGCCAGGAACTCCTCGGCACTTGCAGCCGCGCGGCCAAAGAGCAGCACTTGCTGCCATAGCTCCCTCCACAGAGGAGCCGCTCCTCAGGAGCCAGAGGTTTATGAAACTTCCTGCAGATCCTGACCAGTGAAGGCCAGGATCTGTTCCTCTGTGTTGGCAAAACAGCGTCTTCCCAGGGCAGAGCCCTTGCCAAGGCCACCAGCTCCCTCCTTTCATCCCTCCCCTCTCCTCAAAGCCTGTTATTTGCTATCCTGGGTTTTATCAGAGGTGCTTATCAGCTGTGACAGGTAAAGCAAACACTCTCCCAGGGAGGTTATCACCCGGTGGGCCAGAAAGGTGACACATCCACCCTCGGCAAACCGCAACCAGAGATTGCTGCCGCGCGGCTGGCACCAAGAGCCAAAGCGGAGCGCGGTCCCAGCGGCTGCAGCAGCGATCCACAGGCCCCAGCAGCACGGAGGAGCCCGGAAACAGCCCCCGGAATATGGAGAGGAAACTACTCAAGGGAAGAAGCTCGGCTGCCAGAGCAGGTGGGGCACAGGCAGGCCGGACAGCACGGAGCTGGAGCACATCCCGGTGCCCGCAGGGGTGATGCAGTGCGGCAGAAGCCGTACCAACCGCTTCCTACAGGCAGAGGGGCTCTTCTGCTGCCTGTACTTCCCCGGACACACCTTGCACCCGCTCCAAGGGACTCATCTGAAGGGCAACCCATCTCAGTGACTCCCCACAGACCCAGGAAGAACCCAGGATGGGGGTGCTGCACCCCGACAGCGCAAGACCCCATGTGCCCGCAGCCTCAGGGGCCTGCCAAAACACTGTCCCGATGCAATGGAGCCAGGCTGAATCCCTGCTGGAAGCACAGGGACTGCTCCCTGAAGATGCAGCACATACATGGGGCTGCAGAAAACCTGAACACAAGTGACCAGGCTTAGAACCAGCTCCCAGCTCCCCACAGCCAGTGTGTGCAAAGGAAACGAGCTGCCCGCACGGTCCCCAAACCCAAGCATTGTGGGATGGGATGATCACACCGGGGTTTGGGGGGCGGTTAGGAGAAGCTCAGGTCAAAGGATGTGTCTGGAAGAGAAGGGAGACTCTACCAGCAAGAAGCACCAAAATACCATCTCTTGGCATGGCACCCAAGGCTTTGTCCCTGCCTGATTCCTCAGCCACCCCATGGCTCTGGGACAGACAGCCTGTCCCAAATGGTGATGCCACATTGATGCCACACTGCCCTGAAGCTGAAACTTCTACCATGGAGGCACTGAAGCCTTCAACCCCCCTGCCCCCATGCTGGACAAAGGGGCTCCAGCCTGCTCCAGAGCCTCCCTCTGAGAGCTCAGCCTGCTCCAGCTTCCCCTGCATCATCCCTTAAATCCCCACCGCTTAATCCAGGAGAGCGGATTTAGCCCTGACCAGGCTGATGGCAAGGGGCACCACAAAGGGGATGGGGAGAGGTGCCCTTGCTTGAGGAGATGGCACCAAGAACCCCTCCTCAGGGTCACCCAACACACAGAAATCCCCTAGAATGAGGAGGGCCAAAGGCTGGCGAGCACCCGGAATGCTCCATGGCCCTGTCCCAGCTTTTCCTCCCCTACACGGTCACTGCCAGGGACAAGTCCTGGATAAGATGGTCCCAGACACGCTGCCAGGATGAGGCTGCTCCAGGGAGGGGCTGGGGACTATGAGGAGCATCCACAGCCCAGCAGAGACACTGCAGCAGCTACCTCAGTTGCCCTCAACAGATCTTGCTCTGTCCTGGCTCCCAGATACATCAGGGATAGAGATCCAGGGTAAGACAGGGTTGGGCTCCACAGTGCTGATGGGGAGGTCTCCCTGCCAAGAGCCACTTCCAGTGCAAGCACAGGGAGAAAACCAGGCTGTCCTCGAGGGATTTTCTTAGCAGGAAGCCGCTCCTGCAGGAAAATCACCATCCTGAGCGTCCTGGACTACAAGCGGAGCAGGAACAGTCGGGGAGTGGATCCCCCAAGAGAAGACGGAGCCGGTGGGCACAGGAATTCCCAGCAAAGGGAAACCACCACCGGCCCGCGCCCGCCGTCCCGAGGCACACATCTCCTTCCAGAGACCCCCAGCTCGCCTCCAGGCTGCGGCTTGGCCAGGAGGTGCCCGGAGCTTCTCCCTCTCCCCGCACCAACATCTCCCTTTCCTTACGCGATGCTGGGCTCCAGCCTGGGAACGATCCGTGCAGAGCTGCTCCAACAGCGCTGGGTTTTCCCTGGATCCCTTCCCCGCTGCCGGCAGGAGCACGGGGGAAGCGCGTGGCAGAGGCAGGAGAGGGAGGGCGGGATTTTGCCTCCCAAAACTAAAAGCCGAGGATCAGAGCCAGAGGGAGGCACCTGCGGCCGGGCTGCCTCGGCCCGAGCGAGCCCGGGCGGGATCCGCCGAGCTGCCCTTGTTCCCGGCTTTCAAGGTCATTTCAGTCCCGTGTGTTGGCTGCTGGAGCGGAGCCACCGCCGAGGATGCTGGAGGGGAACGGCGGGTCCCGAGCAGCGCTGTCAGGGGAGAGACAGGAAGTCAAGGCCGGCACGGGGACACGGCTCCGGGGGCGCGTGTGCCGCAGGGCCCCTCAGGGCACCCGGGTCCCCCCCCCCCAGGGACGGCCCGCCCCGGGGCGCTGCGCCCGGTGGGTCACAGCCGGGCCGACAGCCAGGGCCTCGCTCCCAGGGCCGCCCCAGCGCCCGGGATACCGGGTCCCACCGGCTCCGAGACGGCGCGCCCGAGGGGCAGCCCCCGGCCGGGGGCAGATCCTCCCCCGCCCTGCACCGAGGGCAGCGCCCGGGGCCGGCCCCAGCCTCCGCCGGGGCTGGGAGCACCCCTCGGACAAGGCGGAACCAGCGGTCCCCGGGCCGGGCAGCGCCGGGACCCCCCGGCCCGGTCCGTCCCGTCAGGGCGGGAGGCGGGGCTCGGTGCTTCCGCGCTCCCCTCACGGCGCGGCGCCGGCCGGGGGCAGGCCGAGGGCGGGCACCGGGCTCGCAGCAGCAGCGGCAGCGGGGGGGGGGGAGCCCCACGGCTCCGCCCCGGGCACCCCCGGCCCCCGCCGGTCCCCCCCACGCCGCCCCCCCCCCCGGCCCTACCTGCGCGGCGGCCCCGCGCTGCCCGGTGCCGTCATGCCCCGCGCGCCCGGCCTCCTCGCGGCACCCCGGCGCCTTCCCATTGGCCTCCCGCCGCCAAGCCCCGCCCCCTCCGCGCACCCGCATTGGTCGCTGCCACCCGCGCCGAGCTCAGCTCCGCTCCCCTGGCCGCGGAGCCTCGCCCCGCCCACTGGCGGGAGGGGCGGGACTTAGCGGGGAGCCCCCTCTTAAAGGGCCCGCGGAGCCCCCGGTTACCGGAGCGGCAGGAGCCGCTCTCCTCCGAGTCGGGGGAAAACGGGCCCATGGGTTGGATCGCTGCCCCGGGCCAGGGTCCAGGTCCGCTCCACCCGCTGCCAGCAGGAGAATGAGCCCAGGCACCCCCCTTCCCTCCACCCCGAGACAAGAACTGGGGCAGGCGTGGGTGCTTCAGCTTCTCTTTATTGATGGACAGTGGTGCTCTGACTGCCCCAGGGGCCTGTGGAGTGCAGGGTGCAGGAGAAGGCTCTGGGGACACACACACACAACTAACATGGTGACAGTGCGGAGAGAGGGGAGTGCAGGGGAGGGGAGCACCCCTCTTCTACCCCCACCCCTGGGACAACCAAGGTGAGGGGCTGGATACACCCCAGATTTGGTCTGTGCCTCCAGCGAGGAGGGGACAGTGGAAGTGTTGGCCACCATCACCTCCCCCCTTCCCCATCACCCCAAACCCTGAGGCCAGTCCTACACTGACAAGAACTCACTATGCTGACTCCAACATCGACCAGGGCACGACTTCACTACAGGGAGAGGGTTTTAAAAAAACTAAACACTTCAAGTATGTACTTTTTTAGTGATTTAAGGTCTCTTCCCCCTGCTGCTGCTGCTGCTGCACTGGGTGGTGTTTAGCAACCTATGTCCACGCTAGGGAGAAGAACAGCGCAAGCGATGGCGGGCCTAACGCGAGGGGAGGGGAGCGAGGGGAAGGGGGAAGGAAGGTGGGTGGTGCTGGTCGGAGTCAAGTCGCTCAAGGAACGGGCACCACACGCATGGTGTTGGTGTAGCCGGAGCCGGGGCGCCAGCCTGTCAGCACGATGACCAGGTCACCGCTCTTGAAGAACCCACGTGCTTTGCCTAGGAGAGAACAGAGGGAGGGGTCAGGGGTTGTCACATCACATCACCCATCCATGCAGAGGGACACTCAAGTTGATATCAAGGCCCCATCGCTGCCCACCCCTCTGTTTTGGGCTCTGTTGGGACAAGGAGCTGAGAATTCCACAGCACAGAACTGGGAGAGGGAACAGGAAAGGAGCCACCCTGCTCTGGGCTTCTCCTCCTTCAGGACAAGCACCACGTTAAAGCCAACCCTGTTTTCTGCCAGAACCCACTCTAAGGCAGCCGTGCCAACCCTGCCGGCCCATTGCCCAAGCGGATGCGGCTGCACTCGTGCAACTGCCATCCCCTGTTTCCCAAACAGACACCGTTACCACACAGGCAGTGAGCTCCTCTCCCTTTGTCACCGGTCCCCACTGGTACCCACAAAAGCACCTTTGGGGCTCAGGACCCCCATGTCCCAACGCGCCCGATTCCTGGTGTGGCCTCACTCACCAACATTCATGCCTAAGTTAACACGGAGGTCCACGTCCTCAGCCCAGGCGTCCAGGGCTGGCTCTTTGCAGAGGACAGGGAAGATGCCGCGGTAGAGGTGTGCCTGGCGCGCGGTCTGGTCATTGCGGGTCACCGCGATGATGGGAGCCCGCGGGCGGTACCGGGACACAAGGTGTGCAGACCTGCAAGCACAACACACAGAGGGTGAAGCACCACGCTACAGGCACGGGGGGAGCCTGTGTACAGCCACAACAGCGCAAGCAGCAGCCAGGTTTGCCCAGTGAACTCCACACACCCCAGGAGGGATCAGAGGATGCCCCATGGGAGATGCTGGCAAGAGCCAAGCTCACCAAACAAGCTGGATGCTCCTCTGAATTCCCAGTTTGGCAACTGGGCAGGCCAGCACCCCTGGCAGTGGTGACCATCATCTCGCCTCCGCGTTTAAAGCACCATCTGGGTGTTTTGGTCCCGAAAACAAGCATGTATTTGTCTCCGTTGCTATGTTAAGGTGGCAAGGTGCCATTTATTCCGGCCTCTGCAAGCAGTCCCTGGCATCTCAATGGGGGTCCCTGCAAGCTCCCTCTGTTTTGAGGAGCTCATGGTTCACAAGATGTGAAGAGCCTGCACTGAGGCCATTTGCCTCCCAGCCACGTTCACCTGCTGAAGGCAGTCCCTCCACACACAGCTCTGCTCTTGCACCCAACAGGAAGCAAATGCCACTGAGGCCAAAATTTACAGTGGAAAATTGGGCTTTAAAACACCGAAAAGAGGAAGCAGCACACCCTGGGTGGGGACTGCAGGTTCCTTTTCCCTGGGCACTGCAAATGGAGATGGAAACTGCAGTATTTACAGCTCCATCTTTCCAACAAAGCACGTTAGGATCTCCACGAGCTTTTGCAGCCTCATGTAGTGGAGCCAAGCTCAGAACATTCAGGACTGCTGCTCAAAGCAGGCGGTGGCAGCCTGCTGGAAGCCCCCAGACACCCGTGCCAGCTCTCGGCCAATCCTTCCCACGCTGCCTCCAGGCAGCTCTAGGACATGCAGGTACTCAAGGGTTGTAACCAAATCCACAGCCAAAAATATTCAGAGTTCTGATGTCTTCAGAAAGGTCAAGTGTGAGGTGGAACCTTTCACAAGGAACATCACAAGCACGCGGGTGTCCAGACTCGGTGTTACAGTCACTCATTTCAGCAGGAAGCAGCTGCTTCAAACCATTTGAAGCTGTAAATTTAGGTGAAGGATTCACTGATGGTCCAGATCTTCAGGCAGACCGTGCATCTAATCGCATCTGTTTCTGCTGCTGCACTATCCCTTTGGTCCAAATCCAGTGCAAGCAATTCCAGAAGCAGTATGAGACTTAGGGTCGGACGTGCTTTGGGAATGGGCAGCCTAATTCCTCTAGATAGAAGAGCTGATCAGCTCCAGCACTCTTTCCATTGCTGGGAAAGTGAGTCTCTGCTCACACTGCTGGATGGAAATCCCAAACTCTAATGGCTCCAGTGTATCCATGTTGCTGTCACGCACCCGCAGCCAAGGCACTGAGCTCATGTGTGAGCATAGGCAGCACAAGGCTGCTGGTGCCTGCCTGGTCAGTGAGGTTAACACAGGCAGGGGCATGAGGAAGAGGAGATTTCCAACACTCTCCATTTCCCTCCCTAACAATCCTAAGCAGTGCCTCTTCACTCCTCAGGCTTAGGCAAGCAGGACTGCTGCCTGAAGGGGTCAGCAGGGGACCAAGAAATTGGATGCTACCATGAAAGGCCAAGGCCTTGATTTAAATAAACAAATAAATGAAATGGATTCTGCGTCCACTGAACGTGTTACACCGAGGATTTCTTGCCAAGAAATGTGAACTGATTTTCCCTTGACTCTTCCAGCCAGCGCTGCTGGCAGAGATGCCATTCCCACCTGGAAGGGGAGGCAGGGTTTGGTGCTGATGCCACGCTGGCAGAGGCAGGCAGAGGAATGTGGAGGTTCTCTACGTGCAGATGTTCCAGATGTCTGCCCATCTCCAGGGAACCAGCACTGCAGCAGGGAGCTGGGCTCTCAGTCGCTGCCAAAGCCTGGCTTCACCACTATGGCTCTCCTTTCAAAGCCATCTTTATGCGAGTCTCCTTCCCCCACCCTGTCACGAGGTTGGCTTGACCTGGGGGAACCTGTCACCTCCTACCTTCCGGACTTGGTGAGGACAATAATGGCCCCGCTGCAGCACTTGAAGGACGCTTCCACAGCGCCAACAGCAGCGGCCTCCGTGGGATCACAGTTGAGGGACGTCAGACGACGCAGTTCCTCAAACAACTGCCTGTGAAAGATGGCGGCTTCGGCCTCGCGGGCAATCTATAAGAGCAACACGCGTTCGGGAAGACAACACAACGCTCACGTCAGGCGCCCCGGGCAGCAGGGCGAGGTGCTCCATGGCGAGCTGCCACACAAACACCGTGAGCTTTGACACGGGAGGTGCCAATCAGAGAGCACAGATTATGTGGGGCAATGCCGCAACACGCGGGCACCCAAACAGCACCCGGTTGGTTAGAGAGGAACCAGCTGGTCCTCAAGGTTTCTTTGCTGAACTGGTGGCACCTCCGGAGTCACCTCACCCTGCCGAGCCCACACTCGGTGACATTCATGCCAACTGCCAGGCACTCTCGCTCTGCTCCTGCCTACGGAGTCCCTCCCTGCCACAGAGAAGAAGTCAGCTCAGACCGCAGCAGTTGCACAAGGCTGACAGGGCGGCAGCAAACCGCTTGCTAAGCATTGGCAGTGCTAAAAGGGAGCGTGTTCATACTCATGGCACCAAGCCCCCTCTCTGAGCCCTACCTGCCAGACTCGGTCAGAACTATCAGGGCTGGAGCTAAGCACTTAAAAGAGGCCTCCACTGCGCCTACTGCCATGGCATCAGCAGGGTCTC